ATTAATTTGTGCTGGAAATCCGGGTATGGTTTCCAATTATTGGGAAATAACTCCCTGACCTCATAACTTCAATTGATCAAACAGTACATAAGACAGAAATCAGTCATTTTCATATAAGTTAAAATTAATCGATTTTTCTGTTTGTTCAATTCAAATGCACCTTCCTTATGTTAATAATAATAATAATATTGATAATTTAATAATTACAGTTTTGAATTTAAATAACATACCAAGTTAATTGACCCATATCTGATTTTCCTCTACCATAGAAACCTCTAAAGCTGAGGGACAACGAAAGCCAGGGCATTAAGAAAGTGTAGCACCTTTACAAGAATTTAGTTTTCAAATTAACAAAACAAATAAATAAATAACATAGAAATGTAATGATAAATGTATCAATTATTTATGTGAACCACAAACGGTTTACGTAAAAGCTGACAATTTTCTTTCTTCCAATAGTGATTAATTGCAATGATATAATATAGTTATATATGCATAATTAATACTCTATTAAAGTTTTAAGTATGCGATAGGAACAATTAGACCATTACAGAATTGCTTAATGAACAGCTGACATACTGCAAATGTACAAACTACAGTCGTTTTCAATGTTAGTCACGAAGGGAGTATTTTAAACATGAAAGTAGCTCAAAACAATTGAACAAGAAGTAAGATATGATGTACCTTATAAATGACCTTCTTAGTAAATACAGAGTATGGCGATACTTACATCTAAAAAATCAACATTACATTAACATATGAAATAAGATGTTTTTTTAAGGAAACTTTATTTTCTGAGTGATTGTCTTTGTTTATTTACAGCTTCTAAACATCTTGAGCACGAATTCTTCATTTTCACACTTTGGCAATGCGGTAACCGACTACGTTGTACAGACTGCTTGGCTAAGTACTGAGCTGGAAGACAGTTTCTCAATTGTTGAATTAACTGGGTCATCGTAGGTAGCTTCGTGTTGCAAAGGTGCTGTTGGTTGATCATTAAATTCTGCTAAGAAGCTTTAGTTGTCCTCCAAGTAATTACCATTTGATGGGCACTTGAGAAATTGAACAGCTGTAGTGATCTTTAGGTCCTGGCAAAATTCTAAAGCTGTTGGAACTGGAGTTTTCATTTGGATGCAGCCAGTTAAGTTCTCCAGACAATATTGTTACAGGCCTGGCATGGCCAGGTGGCTAGGGAGCTCGACTCTCAATCTGCGGGTCACGGGTTCGAATCCCCATCCCACCAAACATGCTCGCCCTTTCAGCCTCAGGGGCGTGATAATGTGATGGTCAATCCCACTATTCGTTGGTAAAAGTGTAGCCCAAGAGTTGGTGGTGAGTGATGATGACTATCTACCTTCCCTCTAGTCTTACACTGCTAGATTAGGGACAGCTGGCACAGATAGCCCTCGTGTAGCATTGTGCAAAATTCAAAACAAACAAACAATCTTGTGACCCAATGCTATAAGCTCAGCTTGTAGGTCCATGATTTAAGTTATGTACAGGCTTCAAGAATCCTTTGTCTCCAATAAATATGTTTGAAAACACCCAAATAGCTGATTCGAGATATGAAATAGTCTTCTCATACGCTTTTTATTGAACTTGCTCGGAGCCATGATGGGATGTCTGCTTGACATTAAGCCAAACCATCTGTTCACAAATTTGATGAACCATGCAATCGTGAGATGTGCTGTGTCGTATCCTTCTCAGTAAATCAAATAGCACAGTCCAGAATTTACAGAGTGACTAAATAAGTTGAAAACACTTGACACTCTCATTTTGTCAAAATGGGAAGGGCTGACAAATAGCCTTGGTAAGCTTGGGGAAAAGTTTCAGGTCTTTGTCCTCTCGTAAAATAGTCCAGACTTACCTTATAGGATGGTGATTCAAACCTGTTAACAACTTGATTGGGCAATGTGATCACTTTTCTATTCACAAGAGCTGCCTTCATGTTTTTCACAACATGGGCACATCAACAATTTTGGTATCTTATTAACAGCCCTACTATATTTTGAGCAAATCACCCCAAACTTTGCTAAAGAGCAAGATTTGCACTGCCCATATCAGATGTGGTGGAACTGACATGAAGCCCAATCCCTTGTGTTCACTTAATGATTTTAATGATAAATGGCTTGAGAGACATTCCATCAGCATAAGTATGCCACTGTATGTTTCCATCATGTTGTCACCCCTCCAAGCATAACTACAGGAGCATTTGTTGGTTCAGCTCTATGGCATGGCAAGGTGACATCTCCTCGCAGACAGCTGAAGTTCTTGTCCTGTTGTAGTTCTGCCTGGAATAAAATCTTTTCAAGAGTTTAACAGCATTCTTTTCTGTAATTTTTATCAATGTTACTTTCAACTGTAGAAAGTTAAACACCTCATCAAGAATACCTGGTCCCATGGAAATGACTTCAAACTTCCTCCTCGGTGACCTCATTGATGGCAGGGGTTGATTCTGTGAGAGGAGTAACTTATAACCAGCTACCCCACGAGTGAAACGTAGCTGAAAGCCCTTCTTTGCAGCCTCATTTGACCATTTTACGCCGTGAGTGCTCACACAACTCAGCTTTTCGAGTTGATCAGGATTATAGACTTTTGTTATATTTCCTTCTTGAGTCTTTTCCTGTCTAAGCAGCTTTCTCTTCTGTCTCCGCTCCTTGGCCAGTATTTTATGCAGTTGTTCAATGCTGTTTTGCAGTAAAGTCATTTCATTTTTGTTTTACAAATTCCCAACAGCACTTGAGTCATGCAATGGAGTGGTAGCATCGTATAGGGCCGAATTCCTGGCTTGATCTTCAATACCAAGAAGATACACATCTACATTCTGACCACCTTCGTCTTATATAAAATGAAAAAGTAAAGAAAAAATGGCGAGAAACATATATAGTAAAAGGTTGATAGAATCCATCTTCTTCTAAAATTACTTTGTTAACTTACATTGCTATCCTCTTATTCATTTTTATATTTTGATATGAGGATTAATTGTACTCAACTTTTCCCTACATTGAAGAATGCTTTAACTAGAGAAAACAACAGAACTAGAGGAAATAAGGAGTTAATTTCCCTCATGCGTTAGATATTATTTCTAACAGTCAAAGATACATATACTAGCATGTCAGCATTCTGTATTTTAATTACCGTATTAGTCATATCTAAATGGCAGTGCACACTCTTTGATTATAAAGGGGAGGGGTGAGACCTCACAGCTATCATAACTAAAAGAATCTATTGGTTGTGAGCAATCTTCATCTTCAATGACCTATTATAGCAGGAATGTTCAAGCTATATGCTATTGCTTGGATTGTTTGGTTCTTCATTATCATCTATTCGACGTCTCTTACAAGGAGGTTTACAACTCTTTACTATCTGGGTAGAAGTAAAGGCAAACTGTGATGGCAACGCATTTGGTTTGAGGAGCTTCTTGATGTTATCAGCTATTCCAATTTCATATTGGGCCTCATTAAAACGGTATTACAGGGAATCAAATATTTACATAAATTCCAAAGGAAGATTTGAAATAAATAAAGAGATACAATATCTAATTTAACACAAAAACGAAAAATAACGAAGAAAAACTAGGTTCACTCACCGAACACAAAAAAAGAGTTATCATTTGCTTTAGAGTTTTCACGACGAACTTTTATTTCCCATTTCCGTCTGCGTTCTGGATCTCGAGGAAACCTATGCGCCATCTTTCCACATCCAGATCGGTTTGAACAGCTCCAAGTTGAACAGCACGGCATATTTTCTACAGGAATTACACGAATTGCAAATCAAATGTTGCTTAGGGTGTTCAATAAACTGGGAAACGTGGGCACCTTGTTGTCACGTGAGCGCGTTCTACCCAATCATATTCCTACTCGATTGAAACCAGGTTGACCAAACTATATTTATGACTCAGAGGGCAGAATAGATTTGATAGCTTTCACTGAATTAATTTACTGACACTGAACTAATTTCTCTTTAACAATCAGCGCACTAAATACTTCACAGAATTCACGTTTATTGAACTAACTGCCCATTCATTACTCAGTATTCGTATCTATAATTAATGTATCAATCTAGATATTAGTCGATGTTTCTCAATTATTACATCATCATTACGATTAGCAGCTTCCTATATTAAACATCTAAATTAAAACACTGAAAGTATAACGTATAACAATACAAATTATAGTATGTGATATTAATGCTCGAGGGAGCGATTTATTGGTCTAGTTTAATAAAACATAAAATAAATAAAATTAAACGATCGTATTTGAACTATCTCTATATGTTTCAACCGGGCTACCCAGTCATTCTCAGCTGAACTGTAAATTTAAAAACAAAACAAAAACCTTTACTGTTTTTCTGAGGAAAAGTGGGTAGCCCAGTTGAAACATGTACAGATGATGTAAATCTAATCATTATATTTTATTTATTTGATGTTTTATTAAATTATTATGATAAATCACGCACTCGTGGATTAAATAGAGTGTTATCAATTTAACCACTTATAAGCAGCACAAATATTATTTAATTAAGGACTTTGTAGTATGTGATGTTTTGTATAAGTAGCAGACTGTGTGTGGGAACAAATCACGACACATACAAAGCTCAACGTATTTAGCTCCAAACTCTGAATGTATTAATTATTTTGAAAGTGCAATGTCCACTTAACCATTATCAACATATTCTCTTTTGCTTTCACTCATGGCTATGTTTTCATTTTATACCGGACGTTAAAAAATTAGACTAGGAGAAAACAACTTTTATTTTATTGTTTTAAGAAAATAAAAATCGTCCATGTGATGTAAGTTTAATTTCAATGCAGTAAAATATATTCATTATAATAAAAATACACAAGTTGATAAAGGGAGATTAAATATGGCGCGGCATTCCAGAGTTTCGAGTTTTCCGCGACTGCGCGTGAACGTGGCAAGGTAAAGACCTATCATAAGAGAGATTCATCGAAGTTTGCATGACGCGTTATATGAGATGCAACTTCCTGAGTGGCGCGCGCTGTTTGTGGTGTTTTATCGTAATGGTTAGAAAGATTAAGCCTCTTCAGGTAGGAGAGGGTTTATTTTAAAACTATCGATTGAGGCTTTTCTCGTGTAATGCATATGGTTTACTTGTAAAGTTTCCTTGCACGCTCCTGGCTTATGATAATCATTTATAATCAAGGGCACTTTGTCTTACGTATGTTTTTCTCATAGTATAATTATTTAAATTTTCACTTTCACTTAACTCTAATGTATACCACTACTACTGAGTACTACTGTACTAGGCTAACTTCTAATTCTATTATTATTAATACTTAAATTTAAATTAAGATCCCGTATCGCAGACCGAAGCTAGGAAGAAAACGCAGTCCTATTAATACTAGTTCTCGCTACTACTACACTACTAGTACTAGAGTAATACTAATAGTGAGTACTATTAAATTTAAAGTATTATGTTTATAAAGCCTATAAGTATAACTATAGTATACTCTATGTATAAGTTATATCCCATACCTAATTATATTGAGTTAGGCTTAAAAATCCAACGAGTAATGCTAAGTTAGTCGTAACTGCTTTTTATTTTCTATATTCAGCTTGAATTTTAACAGTCCTACTACATGTTAATTTTCATTAATTCGTATTGAGTTAGCACAGTATCGTAAGAATAAAGTAACATTAACGATTGATTACTAAGTCAAATATAGGATTGTAACTTTTTGGTTTATTACTAGTGCTACTGCCACTGTTATTATTATAACTACAAGATAAATAAAAAATTGGGAATTTAAAAACCTACAAATATGGATTGTAAAAAATAAGCAAACAACTTTTAACAAGGCTGGAGATACTATAGACATTATTTGCTCAAACTACAAATTCCTATTTTGACTCTACTAAATGTAATTTTAGTTAACAGCAAGGAGTAAAATAGGGATTTGTAGTTTGAATAAATTATGTCTACAGTATCTCCAGCCTTGTTTCCTAACTTTTTTATGATCTCTATTTGCAGGTTTTTAAATTCCCAATTTTTTGTTTATCTTATTTGATGGCTTTTTTTTATGTTCAACTTTGGGCAAAGAATTACTTGATATGGTAGCTAGCTTATATGGTTCATAATGATTTTCTGTAGCTATTGACTATTTGATCACATTAGTACATGATATAAAATGTTAAGCTGCAGCTGTAGATTGTCATGGAGATTTGTTTGGGAATATAGTGAGCATTTATAGTTTCTGCATAACTAAATTCTATATATGAATTATGATGCATAGCAATGGGTAAATATATGCCTAGTCTAAGACACAACCCCCACTAAGCACATATAAAATTTTACCAGTAGAAAAGTAGCCTTTTCAAGCAAAACCTATATGTCTAAAACATCACTTTAAATAAACCTACATGTCATTTAAAGTAATTATTTTATGAAAGTGTGTAATAAAATTTAATATTATGTGTGTATATATATATATATATTACTCCTCCACTTCATACGTAATAGGGGTTGGTTCCCCAAAGACACTGACTGTATAGTGTACAAAACATTGACTATCTACATGTTACAGTCATCTAATATTCATTGATTATTGGTTGGTAATTTCTGTTTCACCTTGTACTTAAACTTTTTAAAGGAACACCAGATATTTGTAAGAAAGCTAACTTCAAGGTGTAATACTAACATTGTGTACACTGGAATTATAATGTTTTTAGCTTATGTAACAGTAAAATTTGGAAGAAAAAAAATTGACTTTTCAATGCCCCTACAACCTTTGCAGTACCTTATTTAATATTCTACAAAAGGTTTGGGTGCAATATACCAAACTGTTTTTGTTGTAGGTTGGCTAGAGAATAATAATACTAATTATAAAGAGCCATTTTGAGCAGAATTTCTTTTCCTTATTTTACATACTTAGCAGTCAATAGTAAAGGTTTTAAAGTGTTGTTTGAGCTGAATCTTTACTGTTTAAAGTGCTTTTTGCCAGAACATTCTATTAGGGTTTTGTTCAGTTCTTTGCAATCACAATTATGAACCGCTATAGTGGTTCATGATATTGGGGTTTTCAAGTTAAGGCTCAAGTCAGAGGAAGTCTAACTCTTAGCTTTAATACTAATATTTACTAAATTTGCATCAATACTAAAAGTTAACAGGTGTAATATTAGCAATTAGTACAAAATTGATTGAAAAGCAAGTCATAGGATTAGACAATTTACCATTACGTTAATTTCCATTATAATTTAAAATATATTTCCATTTTCAAATTTCTCAGGCCAACCTTCTTTTATATACTTATTGTTGGGCCATTTTACAAACATTACTTGTGCATAAAGAATTTAAAAAGCTGTATAGAAAATATAAGGTGTCAAAAGTTTGTGTTACCAGGGGACTAAATCTCAGAATGCACAAACATTTGGTTTGCAAAAAACAACAACATGGGGCAGAGTACTACGGGAATATAAATAGACAAGTCTTATTGCAGTTGCCCAGGCAATCATTGCATCAGTAAATGAGAAGCTATATGAGCATTTTGTTTAGAAATAACTGACAAAAAAAATAAAGGCAAGTTCCATATTTTGTCTTGAGGTACTTCAGAAAAATGAATAATATTGTGGAAGATAGTAATACTTCAATATTAGAATAATGTTGTGCATTATATGAAGATAATCACTGTCAAACACACAAAATACCCATTTCTGGTCTAGTTAATATCCCATTAAAACTGTAGAATCTTTAGTAAGTAACATTTGGCCTTAATGTTATTCGAATAATATATCTTATGTTTAAACACAGGACTTTGGTTTGGAGCACAAAGGGATGAACATTATTCTGGGAATAAGCATGTGTTAAATCTTGTCCTGTGTGACTTTTAAGGCCACATATCTACCAATTCATATGGAGTTTGGGAAAATTAAATTGTTTATCACCAATATACTGCAGATTTTTTTGTGAAAGCTCTCAAACTCTGCGAGATAAATCTTCTCTGTATTGCACTTTTGCACTAAGTTCAAATTCTAGCATGCTACTCCATGTTGTCATTGTTTTGAATGCGAAAGTTCATACACACACACACACACACACACACATATGTCAAATGTTTGTTGTTGCTGCAGTCATTCTGTTGTTCATCATTAGCTATATCTGTAAATGATTTTTAAAAATGTTGATAAAAAATCACTTTTCTCCAGCTAAATCTAATTCACACCATAACAGTTATTATTCATAGAATTTTGGTAATATAAATGGTGTCTCAACCACTGATGTGTCTTTTGTATCTGGGCTGGCCTGATGAAATCTGGTAATGAATTAAAGACCCCATTGGCACTGGATAAAGCAGATATAGTGTGGATTGATATATTGTTAAATGTTCTTCTTTACTTTCATTCCCCAGTTGGTAAATTCATAATATAGAGCCTGGTTTGGATAATAGGCCCACCCCAGTACTTTTTTAAGTAATTTACAAATTGTAAGCCTACATTCATTTTTCATTTTAATTACAATTGAACAAGATGTATTTCTCTTTGTAGCAATTAATTTTCATCGATGAATTTGGTACAAGGAGGGGATTAACCTAAACTGTAGGAAGTAAATCAGTTGTTACAAAAAGAATATTTTGTTTAATTGTAATTTAAAAAAAAGAGGGCTTGTGAAGGCTTAAAATTTGTTGAAATCACAAAAATATGGGGTAAGCCATTATTATTCCTACCATTCAGAGACCCATGTTTTGAAGGTGTAGTAAATATTGTGTGACATATCAATTCTATTGTGAGAAAAAAATGCATTTCGGACTTCAAAACGTCAAGAAATAGTATTAAAAAAATTTAGTGCCTTGTAGCTATACTTTTCCGAAACATTTAATTCCTTGTTTGAAATCTAAATATTTAAAACATAAAGGTTAATTTTATTGAAACAGAGTCCAATGGACCTTTCTTTATTGTGGAATAAAAGTAAAAAAGCATTAAATCATTGCAAAGTTATTTTTTATGTATGGTATTTGAATTTTTCTTTTACCGACCACAAAGAATCTGTGTTTAAATAGGATTTAAAGTAGATGATATTTAATATACTGTAATATTCAGCATGCAAGCTGTTTAAAATGCTAAAAATAAATTTGAAGCTCAGTCTGTCATTCATTTCACCACCTGTCAGTTAAGTTATTTAGAAATTTCACTTTGTATGGCATGTATGTAAAAAGGAAAATGGGAAAGATCAAACCTAATACAAAGTTTCAAAATCCTTTGTTTGTGTTCACTTCTGCTAGGAGCATTTAATATTTTTCATTCATGAAGTGAGTGGATTCACAAGAAAGTGGATTATTTTCTATAGCGTATGAGTAGTTGTTTTACAGTTTGCCAAAATGGCCAATTACTTTTATGTTCCCAGTTGCAATTCAGGGAGTTATAAGGCTAGAAATTCTATGAAATGTTTATGGATGAGTGTTGCATCTTTCTGTCATCTTCAAGTGAAGAAAGATAAGCAGAAAGAGAGAGAGAAGTTGGTGATCATGTTTGATTAGGAGAGATATTATGTGTTTATTGAATTTGTTCAGTGTATTTTAAAGATGGTAGGTCAACAAAAGATAATGTAGTCCCCATCTTCTTGTCATACAGTACATGGGGTGGAAATGTCAATTATCAGATGCCTAGGGTTGTTTATGATTGTTTGATTATACGAAAAGCTGATCTAGAATATGTGGACCAGGATTATGCATTTGGTCAAAGGGAGAGCATATCTCTAAAGTTACTGGTTACAATGTGATAAGATATTCAGTATACTATAGTTGATATCCAGCATCAGTAATCCTGGGACCTATTGAGTCCAATTATGTTTTGCATATATATATGTGTGTGTGTGTGTGATACATGATGTAACTACAGAGTTTTCATATTATTGATATAATGCTTAAAATTTAAATCTCTGTTAACCACCTGGATATGGGTAATTAAAAGTTCATGTTGACATTTCTACAGTGTTACATTCTAAATTTAATTAAATTATTTTATTACCAATGTATGTTGATAAACTTGGCATTAAAATGTAGTTAATAAATTTAATATTATACAAGTTCTAATTTCTCAGTTTTGAAAGGAAATGTTTAAATTAGTTCTTAATCATCACCTTTTCTGTATCACGTGACATATGTTTGCTCTACATTGCACAATTTAAATATATCCACCCCATTTGAGTTCTGAGTTTTAATGCAAACTTGTAGATATTACTGAGATATAATTCAACATTATAGCTTCCAATCATTGTGTTTCACTTAGGTATAAACCAGGAAGTCCAACCCACATGCTATGCCCTCCTATCATATACTGTCTTTGAAAAAATCTCAATAATTCCCTCTTAAATTTGCTTACAAATTGTTTGTAACCAATAGAATGAGAAAATTTTAATCTATTAGCTCAACCAGCTAAGGAAATTACTTTAATACACTTATAGCTTAGGAAGCCAGTTAAATTATAATAGTTGTAAACATTGTATACTTTGGGCATTTTGTCTTATAAATTGAATATCTGAAATAAATAAAAATTCATTAAAGTACTAAACAACCCAAGCAAAAATTAGGGTTAACTCTTATTAACACATCGAGTCTTTGCTGCAAAAAATACAAGACCTACATGTAAATACTAAATTTCTTGCTTTTTATATATTTCTTAATTATTGTTATAAAAGTAATTAAAATATAAAAAATAGAAAATTTCTAAGTTGGATAAGAAAATATAAATAAAAAAAAGATTTCTCTAAGCTATGAATGCAAGAAGATTGCAGTTTACATAATTTAGTACTTTAACCTAAGCTTTGTGTCATTAGGTGATTTCTAGCTTGTTAAGTGGGTTTAGTAGTTAGACACAGGGTAATAAAACAATAAAATTAAATAAAAACAGATGTAAACTGTTTTGAGCCTGAGGCTGTTTGGTTAAATGATTTGTTCACATCAGACAAAGTTTAAATTTGTTGAAAAATATAGTTTTTCACCTGGGCAAAATTCTGGTATTCACAGTTTCAATCTCTCTTACTTCATAATCATCAACAGCAGTTACTTTTAAATTAGGGAAGAAACATTTCAAGTAAATTTTATCAGTTCTTTCTTGATTTGCATTCCAATTTTCACATAAGAAAATGTACCTATACAATTCAGTTGTTACATTGTCATTTTGATATTTGTGGTCACATTGCATGCAGACTTGTATATGTCTTAAGCAGCCTTTAGTTGCACTAAATACACACTATAGGTTTCAAAAATGCCCATATTGACTTACTAACGAAATAAAGGAGAAAATTCAAGATAAATGACTAAGTTTAACAAGTTTTGAATACACAAATAGGATGGAAGATTACATAAATATAGGGAAGTTAGGGATTTGGTTGAATAAGAACTTATGAAATCCCAAAGGGCTTATGAGAATCAACTAGCTTATAATGTTGAAACAGTCAGCAAGTATTTTTTAAGGGTGTTAAATATAAGTTAATATATTAAATAGGGATTGGACTCTTAAATAATGCTGATGAGGACTGTGAGATGGTAGTTTTTTTAAATATTTTCTATTTCTGAAAAAGAAGGTGTTAAGAAAGTTTCTAGGGGAAATTTTGGGATTGACCTGAATTATCTTGATATTAGTCTCTTGGTGGAAAACAAAAAGGATGAGAAATTAAAAACAGATAAAAAAAAATGGGACCAGAAAATGTTTTCACCATGGTTTTAAAGGAGTCAGATGAGATGCATGGGCCTCATTTTTTTATAGATCAATAGAGGATTGATCAATTGCTAATACAGTATTCCCCTGTTGAAAGATCCTCCTGGCCAGATGCAGTTACACTGTTTACTATCTCTTGATGATCACCCTGAGAATGCAACCACCTTTCAGTTTTATGAATGAAACAACCGTTTGTTGCACATGAGTACCTGCATGGCAAAATTTCACGAACATGAGCAAGACACTTGCCTGTCAATTTTGTTGTCCATTGTCCCAATTAAATACTGCTGTTTGTTGCATGTGAGTATCCACATGGCAAAATTTCTCGCGTATGTGCATGGCACTTGCCTGTCAGTCTCATTGTCAAATGTCCTGTTGAATACTGCTGTTTGCCATGTCTAAAAGACATAAGATTTTGATCCTGGAAAAGAGAGTATCAGTGCTGAAGAAGGGAAATCTTGCCATGCAGTAGCAATTGAGGTCAGAGTTCGGAAGATGCAAATCTAGAATATAGTGAAGGAAATAAAAGAACTTTTGATGAAGTGGGGGGAGTACTCACACAGAAAATACAGTAAGCCTAGAACAGCATGCTGTGAAGACCTAGATAAGATCATCTGGAAGTATTTCACTATAGCCATAGCAGAAAACATCCCTATCAGTGGCAGGATGATTCAAGAGAGAGCACTGATGTATGCAGAAACTCTTGGTCATTTTGGCTCTTCTGGTTCTAATAGATGGCTGGACAGGTGGCACAATTTTTACAATGTGCACATTTCTACCCTGTGTGGAGAAGCATCTAATGTAGTCCTGGCTGTTGTAGGTGATTGTACTAGCTACAGGTTTGAAGATGCATTTAATACAGATGAGACTGGTCTCTTCTATAGAGATTTACCCTCATGCTCAATGGTGGTTAACATATTGACTGCTGACTACGAGTATAATCGATTTGTTGCTGGGTGTACCGGATTTTGCCACTACGAGTATACTCACAGAAAAAATTATGCTATTGAATAGTAAACAGCATAATGCTGGTGTCCCAGATAAAGCAATAAATGATCTGCTGACAGTTTGGGGAACATAAATCTATGTAATAATCATGATGAAATATGTATTGTATCATTATTTGTGCTCTTGAAATTCACTAAGGTGCACTATATATCTCCAGAAAGCTCACTTCAACACAACTAAGACTAAAGAAGACATGGTTACAACATGAAAATAAATTATTATAACTTAAATAGGGTTATTCCACATGATCCATGGCATTGTTTGATGTGGTCTGAATCAATAAGCAATTGATAGTCAATAAACATTTTCAAAAAATGATTTTATTCTTTCAATGCTTCATGAACTAATAAGTTCTCCCATTATAACCAAATGACAAAAAAAATAATATCCAGTAAATGATTACAAATGTCTGTCTTCTTATCTGTCCATTATTGAGGCATATGGTATTGATTGAAGCACATTTTTATACAGAGGGCTGGTTTTTCAGGGCAGAAATCACACGTAGCCAGCTTTCTCGTCTCCTCCCAGCCTTTGTGAAGACACGACATGGTTTGGTTGGCTTCTTTTTGTCTTCTGTGGGTGATAAACATATGAGGTAGTGAAACAATTAATCTTTTGGAATTGGAGTTGCATGTCAACCTTGGCCTTGAAGATCCACCATGGTGATTCCTAGCAGATCAATTGTTACCTGTTCAAAAAACTTTAAGAGTTTCATTTGCTGTTCCCTATTTTCATTGCATAGGATGTGGGCATTCAGAATAAATATTTCAATGGTATGAAGGCAATCTTCTTATATCATCAGATAGTTTTTTGTAGAGCTGAGTAATACAACAACATTTGGTCAGATCTGTCTATCCTTGACATGCCATTGTTGTAGTCACAAACGATACTGAGTTTTTCATAATTTTATTATTTCGATTTGCGAAATGAACTGTCTCCAGTCTGTGCATGTTGCTAATTGTGAGCATGTCCCATTTGTCCTTCCATTTACAAACTACCACTGATTGTGACTGCTTCCATTCATGTTCACTCTTCTTCAACTTTTTCCTGATCACCTCCATTGGGTTTTCTTTATGATCAAACCTGAGTGTTCTACATATGTAGGTTGTTTCTGAATATGAGTAAAGATTCATTGCCTTTGATGATAAAATTGAAAGAAACAATTGACAGCTTGTATTTTGATCTTCTGTCTGGTAGACAAGGCTTTGAAAAGTTGGAATACATAGTGAAAGGGTTGTTAGTCCTATCTAATGGCCAAGCCTCAGTAGAGAGAGGTTTTTCTGTGAACAAATAGGTGTGCAAACTAAATTTGAGAAAGAGAGTTGTACTTGATCACATGTCATCAGTTGGAAGTCCTATGAAAGTTGATATGAGTAAAGAATTGATTGTGTCAGTGTCAGAAGCTAGACAAGTACATGATGTATGTAGATGAACAGAAGGTTCAAAAAGAAAAGTTAAAGTAAGGGGAAAAATGAAATGTGGAATGGATGAAATTTGGGGGTTAAAAATAAGGAAAGGAGGCTTGAAACTGATGCAAAACTTAAATATCAGTAGTTGTAATGTTTGATATTTTTATATATATTTATCATTTCTTGTGTTATATGACTGACGAAATAGAATAGCTTATCATATGTCTCTTGACTCGATGTTAAATGATTAACAATTTGAAATAGTTTTTAAAACTGTAATCTGCCTTTTACATGATCTATCTGAAGATGTATAAATGTATTCCAATGGCCAAAAAAAGTCATGAAATTTTGAGCAAATGTCATGGAAAAGGATTTAATGTTAATGGAATATTTTATTTTTCTTATATTATGTTCATAATAAAAATATTAGTGTATGTTTATGTTTATAAACTACATTAATTCATAAAGTTTACTTTATTTTTCAGAAAGCAATCACCAGGTAGATAAAGAAGATGTAAAATGATGATTTTACTACAAATTGTAAAGTAAATCAGTTTCTTTCCAGTGACTTGGTTTTTTGCTGTCTTGAACACAATCAATAACATATACCAGCTGAAGGTTTCTAAATCTGTTCAACAATAACAAAAAAGCTTAACTTACCCATTCTGTGGAATGGTTGTTGGATTATTGAAATTAGATATAGAACTTAAAGAAGACAAATCCATATCTGATGAAACATTTACATCAAATGGTGATACAAAAGTGATTTGTGAAAATAACTCGTTTATTAGCATTTTGGGCCATGGCTGAAGCTACCTTGGCAACAGCTGTTGATCTTGTTGTGGAAAAGAGTGTAGTTACTTCATCTAGCAAACAGCAAGTTATCTTTGCTCAAAGCCCTATAAATAGCAGAGTGACAATAACTGAGACTACCTCATCATCACCAGTAAAACTAACAGAAGGATTTGAAACCAGTGATAAAAATCTTAGTGTTGCAGCATTGAAGAGTCCAAATGTTAAACTTGTGTTTACACAAGCTTCAGGATCAAGCATGCAGCCAATGACAGTTGGAAATGTACACATAGAGCAGTTAGACATCAACCAAGAAAATGTTCAAGTGATCACTAAATGTTTAACGAGCAGTTGTGGATCATCCAACCAAATAGCTGCATTAAATAAAAAGAAAGAAAGTTCAGGAATTCCAACAAAAATTTTGATTCCTTCATCATGTCAAAATCAGCCAATTTCAGCTCATTCTGTACTATTAAGTGGTAATCCTACGAAAATGATTGCCGTCGCCAAATCAAACTCCACTACTATTTCAACTAGACTTCTTCCATCAGCTCAGAAGAATCCAATTAAACAGGTAAGAAGTCAAGGATAAATGATTTTATAAACATGTATATAGAATTAGTAATTTCAAAAGGCCTTTGGTTTAAACCACAAAAGTTCTGTTTTTGAGGATACAGATTCTCCATTTAACAACATAAAGAAATTGCTCATGAGACCTTCTTTTCAAGCTACCATGGATTTGCAAACATAATTTAAAGACCATTTTAACTAAGTGAAATCTTAAAACAAAATAATAGTTTTGGTGGGTTTAAGGATTTTGAAAACTTAGGTTGCCAAATTTGGTTTAGAATGGTATGTGAGTGATCAGCACAACTCAGCTGCTGAATGGATTGCATGACGTATCTTATTATTAAAGCATTCAGAAAAGTAGCCCGCATGAAATAATAATGCTGTTGAATTTTGCAAAACATTATAAACTTTGACATATTATCACATACTATTATTATTTTTCTAGTGTTTAAATTAGTTTTACACTCGGCTAATGACAGTTTAATTATGTTGTAGATAAAGTTTACTTTGAATGCTGTGCTACATCTAATATCAATGTTCAACAATAATAATAAAAAAACTTTCTGTGGAAGTTTAGTGAATTACCAGAATTAGCTATGAAGTGGGATTATTTCAGTCATTTGATTGCAACAGAAAATCTGTGGTTTTAGCTTTTTAGTTAGCCTCTAGCATATTATAAATATGTTTTATGGCTCAAGAAATCACATTGTAGTCAATATACCCACTACAAACAAGACATAAGTTTTAGAAGCTGCCATATATTATTTACTTTTTGATATACGTGTTTTTAATGATCAAATAGTACCATCTTTGTTCTGATTATATGCTGCTATTCTTTAAGTCATTGACCACATATAGGATCTGGCAAGTATTTGGTGTAATTGTATTCATTATTCTTTCAAGAGCATTACCATTTAACTGCAACTGTTTAACTTTTGAATTAGTCTCACTAGATGATTGAAAAATATGTATGTTGAGGATGTGGCCTCTGCAGGGATCATTCCAAGATTTTGATTTTGTTACTTTAAAATTAGACTTAGGTTGTACATGCTTTGTGGCAGGGGGCCATTATTCTGATTTAGCCTTGTTCTGTTAAAAAAAAAAAAATACCGCCATAGCATTTATGCTTTAATATGCTGTTTGTAGATCGTATATTTTCTAAATTGATAGATCAATTTTTCATGTTGATTTTTGGCTAGATATGTTGCCTGATTATTATTTCTTCTGTTTAAGTAGAAAAGACTACATTCATAGATTTTTTTTACATTTTCATGGTTTTATGATTAGCATTCTGTATGATCACCAAAGTTTAATTATTAATTAGTTGCTAATTTATCAGTTCATTTCCATTCACTCAACTAGTACATTTCCTAAAAATTTACTGAGTTTCTTTTCAGTTTAAAGTGCATTTTATATTACTTTCAAAAATTTATGTATTGAAAAAAAAAACATGCTAATTAGCATGAATTAGGACTTAGATTTGAGAAAATTGAACTGGCCTGGCTTTGATGATTCAGTCTCTGTAGCACTAGTTTTACAGAATTTCAGGTGATAATAGATTCACATTAGATCATGTGAAAACCAATAAAAATGTGACTATTCATGGAATGTAACGTATCTAGAAACCTAAATTTCTTATGTTAAAAATACTGAAATATTATTATTGGCAGGAGTAAGGGTTAATGTGAAAAGATATCAATATTGTAATGTATTAAAAGTCACTGGTGGAAATTGATATTAATATTTCTGCATGTTTTAATTTTTAATTATATATCCTAATCATGTGTATTTTTGTTTGTTTTATTATTCCTAACTAAAAACTGTTTGGAGTTTTGGACCTATACTTTTATGTGCCATTTCACTTAATTTTTGGTTGTTAGCTGCAGCTTTATCTTCCAGAAAAGAAATACTGATAAACTATACAATTATAAGAAAACTTAATGAAGTGTTTCATTCTCAGTTAAACTTTTTACCATCTTTCACTTGCAATAAATGACCTGTCACAACTTGGAGTTAATGGTTTTTACTTCACATCTTTACTGCATAATGCTAAATGTCATTTAGTATTCCCAGGAAGCATTTTATCTTTTCGGTACATGCTAAAAAGGTTTCTTTCAAACTAATAAAATGCAATGTATACACCTTAATCTTAAACATTCAGTTAGTGCTTTTATGATGCTTAGGTTTCTCATTGCATGGAAAATTTGATTTTTTTTCTAGTATTTCCTGTTGTTACTGAAACTGTGCATTCATAGGATTAGAAAAGAAAATACATTGTGATTGCTGAAGTTTTGTTAGAAAATTATTGAATCAAGAAGACCTTAGTTTTTAAAGTAAGAAAATTCATGAATTGCCATGAGACTCTGATACCATTTAATTACTGAACACCTATTCATTATCATTACCTGTACTTTGACACAGCATTATTAACATTTCTAGGTGGTGGATGTGCTTTCTCCTTCAAAGAACACAGTGAATGTTGTATCTGTGCCAAGGTCACCACAGAAAATTGCTCCAGCTATAACTGTAGGCAGCAAATCCAAAAGTATTGGTGTTCATGAACCTGCAGCATCTCAGACTGCATCAATCGTTTTATCCAGACAACCTGTGGTGCCACACTCGCCAACAAAAGTCATGCTAAAACCTGTAGTACTGGTATTTGTTAACTTTTATGTATTTGTGAGAGATAGTGATGTATATATTATTCTGAAAATAACATTCACTGCATTTTGTCAAAAGCCAGGTTTTAAAATTTTATATACATTTTTCATGGGTATATGTAATTTCATTACCAGTTTATGGTATTTGCTGAAGCAGAGATAAAACTAAATGTTTATTTCAGGTTTGTGAAGACAAAACTTTTTTATTTTATTTGCTTGTATCTTTTCAGACTACACTTAAATCAGCAACTCAGACCACAGCCTCTCCAACTCAGATTAGATTTGTTGCATCCAATTCATCTTCACAAACAAGTATCCTTGCTAAACAAGCCACACCAACATCAACAGCTTCAGTCCCCTCTTTTCAGTTGACCTCAAATAGATATCCATGTCTGCGACTAGTTGCTACACCAATTTCCCAAAACATGACTGGTAATTTCATATATTAATGCATTAACTCACAAAAAAGTATCCATTATGGTAATTTGTTTTAGTCATTTTTGAGGTAGTAGTCAATTTTCTGGATTTTTTTAATCCATTAAGAATTGATAGAACCACTATACGACTAAAAAAAAAGAATTGAAAATGCACTCTAATGAATGCAATTAATCTCTAGTTCAATGAGACCAGAATATAAATGTGTCAACCCATTTATGTTGTAGCCACTGATGTTTGTCAAAATTGAGGTTATGTGTGTGTTCAGTGATACATATTGTTAATTTGATTTGTTCCTGCTCATCTTAGTTATTAACAGGAACAAAGGACTATATGGCAGGTCATTTTGGATCTCCTTTTAAGCTACCAAGTCAATCAACATTTCAAGCCCTCCACTATCACATCCAAAAGCTTTGATATTTTGACAATAAATAACCACAATGTCTAATGAGTTATGTAAAGCCTATGGAGTTGGTAAACCTTACTTAGCAGTCTTATGCAATAATAATAGTCTGGGTTCTATAAATTTGTTTTTGTTTAATATAGAACTACTATTTTGAACATTATTTGCATAATTTTAACATTGGTAATGCACTTTTTTAAAAGAGTTTTTGGGCTATTTAAAGAAATTGTTCCTTGTTTATCAAAGACTTAAGTGTGAAGAATTAGTTTTATCTTAATTTGAAAACCAATTTTTGGCCAAATTGATAATGGCGATTTTTCACAGATGAGTACATGATGTATGTAAATGAACCGAAGGTTCAAAAAAGAAAACTTAAAGTAAGGGGAAAAAACGAAATGTGGAATGGATGAAATTGAGGGGTTAAAAATAAGAAAAGGAGGCTTGAAACTGATGCAAAACTTAAATATCAGTAGTTGTAATGTTTGATATTTTTATATATATTTATCAGTTCTTGTGTTATATGACTGACGAAATAGAATAGCTTATCATATGTCTCATGACTCAATGTTAAATGATTAACAATTTGAAATAAATTTTTTGAAACTGTAATCTGCCTTTCACATGATCTATCTGAAGATGTATAAATGTATTCCACTTTCCGAGAAAAGTCATGAAATTTTGAATAAATGTCATGGAAAAGAATTTAATGTTAATGGAATATTTTGGTTAAATCCAACAAATGGTCTCGGGGCTGTGTTTTCTATCAGCAAATGTAAAATTATATAGGTAATAGTCATACTAAAAATGTTTTAGAATAGGTGGAATAGCATAAGGTAATATTAAGAGTATAGTTTTGTACTAGTTCATTACTTTCCAAAAATGTTTAATAGGATTATGAAAGTGAAACATTCTATAGAAAATATTTTGGTAAATTAGAATTTTAATGTGGTACTTTAATCGTGGGAATTTGGCAGCATTATAAATGTTTGATTTATGTTGGTGACATAATAGGTCTCAAAGGACTTTTCGATTTTGAAGCATTGAACTGTTTCTTCTCTTTGAACATTAGGAATTTGAGTATGCAAGTTATAAGACTTTTTTTTTTCTTAAAGTGGTCCATTGTAGAACTATTGGAATTATATGAATACTTTAGGGCAATGTCTGGGAGAATTTAAAAGGTATTGATACTTTTACTGACTAATGGTGATGGGTAGTGAAGAAAAATATTGTTCCCATAATGTATTATCGTGTAATTATCATGATTACTGTATTTATCACAATAATTTTGAAGTTGGCAAAAAAACCAAAAGTTGGGATTTGTTAATTTGATCACCTATGCTTTCTGTATTTTTATTTGCAGATTTTATTTTTTTGATTTGGAGAAATAAACAATAACTTTCTATTTGATGATAACTGTTATTACAAATACCAATATATTGATCATTTCAATTGCTGACTACAGACACAATGCTTGTCACATTTAGCTATAATGTATGCCTTCTAAAGTCCACAAAATTGGTAATTTGATATTTATTAAGTCAGAAACAGGATTATACTGTTTGAATATTGCCAAATTCCTTGTTCCAGTTTTTTAATAAGTGTTATGAGAATACATTCAGACTTGTTTTTATTTTCTAGTGAAACCAACTCTTCATCCTTCTGATGAATGTTTTAGACATATTTTGTTTACGTATATTTAATCATAAATTTTATTAGTTCGTAGTTTCGCACCAAGCACACAGTCCACTTCTTCAATCAGATCAACTATGACACTCCTGCCTCAAAATCAGAAAATTGCTTTACAACGTAGTAATGGTCATTCAGGACTCAATCAGGTAAGAAGCTGAACTTTTTATTTGTCAGTAGCTTTAGTTTTATGTAGAAACATACAATTTGTATTCCCACATAGAATTTACACACATTTTATTGCAATGGTTCAATTCAAGGATAAGCCTGGAAATAGTCATTTTGTTTTGTAAGACATGGTTAGGCATGAATGAATTTTAATCATTCTTTTAAACATTAAAAAAAACTTCAGAGTTGAAATTTATTCAATAAAAAAAGTTATGTATTTAATTTTATACATAAAAATTTCTAAAAATCACAAATTTTAATTTTGGATTGATTTTAGTATGCTCTAAACAAAAACATATTTTGAGTTTCCTAGACCCACAGGAAAAAAGTCACAATAGGTCTGAACAGAGTGATAATTTGACCTTGTAACTCGAATACAAGTGTAGTTTTAACAATTTTTTTTGCCCATCACTGTTTCTCAGCCTTGGTTGTCATGGTGTAATGTAATTTCTTATATTCTATCAGTATTATAAACCAGTGTTTTATATAATTTGTTTATTTGATTATTACGTCATATAATATCCAATGGCAACAATCTTCCAAATGAGCTCTTCCTTAGTGACGAGCATACGCTGCACATGTGCATACGTGAATAGCAACTTGAATGACTTCAGTGGTACATTGTTGAATGAGGCTGTCAACATCTGATGCTTTCCATTTAAGCAATTGTATAATCGTGATTCATCCGTTTTTTTCCCATCATTATTTTTATGTCCTGTGGTATTGACTTGAATGTATACTAGTATAAAACATGCTGTATATTTAAGAATGCATGGCTTCTAAAGAATGTGTATAAGGAATGGCTAGTTATGGGTGAACATTGCCAAGAAGCTTGAGCCTTAAAAAGTTTGATGTTGGCAATATGGGCGAGCCCACGGCGATAAGCCATAGGAAGGAGAAAAAAGCATGAGGCTAATGTGCATAAATTGCACTCGTCAACAGCAGCCATTCTGATCATATGCAGTTTGATATCGTCTGAATCTAGGCCAACGCCAGATAGAACATCAACAGTTAGTCCTACTGTTGTGACAAATCAACACTATAGCGTAGTCCAGCAAGTAAGTGAATAATATTCCTAAGTTAAATTTAATATTAAAGAAAATGGGTCAGATTTCATTGACTTAAATGCACAATGCAATTTAATAAAGTTGCATTATTTTCCAATTAGCCTTTGGATGATTCACTTCTTTTCATCTAGGTGTCAGCGCCTTATTATGCATTTTATTCATTACAGGGCAGACTGGATTCATAGGTTTTTATAGAAGATGAGTGGAAAGCTGAGGTTTTGTGGGTCCGGAAGACCATTGTTAGCTAGCACAGTTACAAAAGCTGTTAAAACATAAATGAACTGTTTAAAAAGATGTGCTCAGATAGTAAAATTGCATCCAAGTTCTCTTGTGAAGAGAAAATATGTGCATATGTAGCTTGTTTTGGATTGGACCCGTATATTAAATCAAATTTGTATAAAAACATGGAAAAGCTAGACTTTTGTGCTGTTTTACAAGAAATCCTTAACTATCTCCACACAGGCTTGGTCAATTTGACCGACTATGTGACCTTTTAGTATTCGTATATAGTTTTTATAGATTTGATACTACTAACTATTGACATAGTATGTATATCTTCATGAAATTTGGCAGTCTTTCAGTAAACATTATAAACCTTTCACATTCAAAAAATCATATTCATACTGAAAAAAGATTTGATGTTGAATATATTGATTATTTGTTTTTGAATATTTTGAGTGCATCAGATTTTCATGTTAAAATTAAAAATACTTTTCTTCATCTCAAAATCTCAATTTTCATGTGTAATCTCTAAAACATCCTAAATACATTTCAAATGTTTATTTTCAGTAAAACTTTATATTTTATGTGTTATTTTCTCTACCCTAATTCTATACCAGGTTGGTCAATTTGACTGACCTCGTAGCCACCAAAAAAAAATATAAGAAAACTAAATTACCGTCCTTTTCTTTTTTCTGAACATGTTAATTCAAGAAAATAATATTGTTAAATAATTTTTACCTTAAATCCAATTTGTTGTGATATGAATAAAATTGATAAAAATTTCATTTTAACTTAATCCAGTTCACACCATAACAGTTTGTTAACATAAATATCATGTCAACCACTGCTGCTTCTGCTTTATCTCATTTGATTTGAAGAACCCTGGCATTGGGTGAAAGACCTTGTCAGTACTGAATATAGTAGATAGTGTGGTTGACATATTATTATATACTCATCTTTACATTCACTCAGAAGTTCTCATTAATAATTGCTGTCTATAATCGGTGGTAGTGTACATGATCATTAGTATTAATGGTGAGGAAAAAAAAAATTATGTTTTAGGGTGCAATCTAGTGGGCAAAAGTCACATCCATGGGTGTTATTTCATTTAGTAATGGTTTGTTAGTCCACAGTACAAATGGATCACAGAAATTTTATCAAGCAGTGATTGTGTCAGATGCATAGTTTGCACTATTCTGACATTACCAGCATGAGTGAGGCTACACTATCTAGCTACATCCGTGAAAAGAAGCATACATCTGCTATACAGTGATCCAAGATTGATGAATGGATTGAGATGATAACCATAGATACACAGGACAAATTATCACGTTTAAATTATTTCAGGTGATTTTTAAGTAAACTGAATGTTTTAAGAGGTATACTTGTTTAAAAATGCTACTGCTGTGTCAGACTTAAAACTTTTGGATATGGAAATAGACAGTTAGTTTTAAATGTGTTGTAGAAAAGCCCAGGAATTTTTTTAACTGAAAAGTGTAATAAACTCTGTCATTTCATGTTGGTTTTATTATTTAAACACCTACAATAATTACATGTGTAAATATTTTTAAGACAATTCCATTTGTGCCATACACAAGTCTTTGGTTAAAACTAATGGGTTTTATGGCCAAATATATTTTTAATGGAACTTTACCTAACTGATAAAACAAGTTATTCTGATCTTTATAGATAACTTAAAAAATGTTTATTTAATGAACTATACTTAATACCAGGTTTAGTTTTAGTTTTCATCTAAGTAGTTATTGTACCCTGATCAGAAGTTAATATTATGTTTTGCAGAGATTTTTACACACGTATATCAATCACACCTATCTCAAAATTAGCCAAATACTTAAGTACATCTTACTTTTGCAAAGCATGCAGTGCTTCAAAAGATTCAAGTGTACAGTTTCTTTGAAACCTTGGTAAGCTATGAGGTGTAATTTCCTCTTTGTAGATTTACTTAAATATTCTGAAGTCTTGTATACAAACTAGAAAGTTCACAAGATCTAAAATATGGATTTGCTAGATTTCAGGTACCTCATGAACCTTATTGTAATGCAAGTTATGCATGTTATAAGTTAATATTAATTAAAAGTTATGATATTACACATGCGAAATTGGTTTGGTTTTAAGTGCTATTTCTTGTTTAAGAATAATACCTTATTGAAGTGTTTTTCCCTTCCCCATTACAATTTCACCTGTGAAAATTAGCTTATGTCCAACAATTCTAGAAAAAATATCTGAACAGAATAGCTATTCATGAGTGCATTTATCACTTGCTTTGTTACATACACTAATTGCCTCCATGAAGAAACATTGCTTTTCTGCTGTTTTTTCATCTTTCTTACTTTCTTTTTCTTCCTAAACACTTTTCAGTTGACCTTCATCCCTTCATTTCTGGCGCAATGATTTGAAACTAGGTAGGGTTGTATGTTGGTCCAATATACCCAGTACTATTTTTTTTTTTTTATAAGCTGCTTTAAGGATTTTATGGGTGAATGGTCAAACAACCCAAAAATGTGTATTTTGGGATCATGTCTGGTCATATTTACAGCAATCACGATGAAAATTGGCACGGATATAAATTCTTAAGCAGCCAACACATTGACATAAAAAAAAAAGTTGGATTTGCCCATTTTGAGTCTTTTTATTATTATTATTTTTAGGAGGGGAATGGATCAAAGATCACAAAAAAGCAAAATTTTGTAATTTTTGGTCAATTAGTTTTTATCAGTTTACATGAAATTTGGTACAAAGATATACTTTTCTGCAGGTCACATATATATACATACAAAAATGTGTCATGCCCATTTTTGGTAATTTTAGGAGGGTTTGAAAGGTCATAAAAAGCATAATTTCAGGAGTTTTGGTCCATATCATGGTCATATTTCAACAAATTTGTGTGAGATTTAGTACAAAGATACTAAATCAAACAGAGATATATAGACAATTTGACATTTTTGTCTTTTGCTCAATTTTTCATTGAGGAAAGCACAACTTGAGTTTTTCATGAACTACTCATCCATGTCAACCAACTTGCATAGGATTTGGTACAAAGATACTTTCTTACAGGTTCCAAGCAATGATATAGGCAGTTTTCAATTTTTCTGTGTTTTTTACAATTTTTATGGTTTCGAAATTAACCATATTGGAATTTTGTGTTGGAGACATGTTGCATTCACCTGTAAATATAGGCCTCTATAAAACATTATGCATCTTAAGGCAATTAAGTGTGTGTTTTACACACACTATTTTATTTACCATTTTTTTTACTAGGGTTATTCGTGGATCTGAAAATTGTCATAACTTTCTGAAGATTTTGTGTGTGATGCTAATTTTGGAAGGAAACTGATTATAGCAATACTTATAATGAAACTGGAACTTGTATGCATAACCTTTCAAGTTGCTAACTTCTACCTTTCAAAAAGCTTTAATTTAAAAGCAGTGAGTCCTTACTATGTTCTGTCTGTTCCAAATAGAAATGATGGACTTGGATATTAAGTTGTCAGTTTTGTGAACAGTGATTGTTGTTTTTGTGGCCAGACACAGATAAGCAGCGTGTGTTAGTGAAATTCAGAAACACAAACATGAAACTGTTTGTAATTCAGAATACTGTGATTTAAAAAAGATTAGTTTATGCTTATTTCTTGCAAATTTTTATTCCACAAGAAATTATGAAAAAAATATTGTAGTTAGTGTTTGTAGGTACTTTGTCATTCTCTACAAATGAAATCTTTATTCTTTTCAAACAAAATTTGTTTTTTTATAAATCTAGATTGCTCCAAAACCAGTGGTTGGCTCACAGCAGTTATTGTTTCCTGCATCAGCAGTCACAAAGTTAGCTCAGCTTCAGCCAATCAATCTGACTTCAGCAGCAGTTCAGGGTCAGAGTACTGGCAACACTTTACTGACTGGTGGAAACAGCATATCCAGATATGTTATGATTCCAACCAACTCCCAATACCAGGTTAGAAAGCTCAATACTTCTATTTTTTATTTTTTTACCATTAATGTAATAAAAAGACAATCTGACACTTTTTTATGTTGCAGAGTTTTTGGGGAAATGGTGTATTGTAATTCCTATTATCACAGAGCTCGATTTTAACAGTTGTCCGAGATGAGTAAAAACTTCCTCTGATGACCAACTTAAATCCCTTTGATGTCTGATGGATGTTTAGTGCTCTGGAACAGATCCTTATTCAAAACAGCATTTCAGTCTACTGTACATTTATCCATGCTCACTTTACATGCATAATGTGGATTCCGATCCTTAACCAAAATCATCGGTAAATTCCCTAACTACGAACTCAAAACTTTGAACCCCCACAAAAATATCTTTTGATCCATTTTTTTTTGTTTAAAAAATATTGTACTTTGTTAAAGGGGAAATGCTGATGCAATCCATCAAGAGGGGCTAAACATTTTAGGAAAAGTTTGCTTTTGTAATTGGCAGTAATGCTATTTTTATCACTCAACGTTCTATCATGGACAAGCTGTACCTCTGTCGAGTCAAGGAAATACAGAAGGCCTAGCTATCATGAGAAAAGAGGGAAAATCCACAAAATAAACAGAGCATATTAACAATAACTGCAAACAAAATTTTATGAAAGTTTTGATCAGGAAAAACAGAATAACAATAAATAAAATAAGTCTAGCTTTACCTCTATCCAAGTCAATATAAACTATGAGTATGAACGACAATACATATCAGCGGTGTATGTGTGCAGCACTCGATCATTGTGTATGTATTCAAGTCTAGTCTTACTACAGGCTGTACTTTACTGTACTTGCCGGGCAGGCAAAGCTGGTTAGAATGCAAATATTGAACATGATTGACCAAGATCACTGTTCTGTTTAAAAGTTTTACAGGTCTTTGACTCTTTGTTTCCTTAAAATACTATGTAACGTTAGCACGGTTTGGGCTTATTTTTTTCCAGTGTAACAAAACTTCCCAGGAAATAAGGCATCAAAAATTAGTTCAATTAAGATAATATATTGTCAATTAAACATTAATTGTACTTTTTGGAAATAAATAAGATATAAAAACATCATAATTATTGTAATTGGGTCTTTTTTAGGGTCTTTGTACATCAATATTGTAATAATTGGATCTTTTTTGAGGGTCTATACAGCCTTCTGGACAACCTCTGACACAGGCCAGGTTGTGCTTTTGGCAACCTGGAAATTACCTTAAAATTGAGCCCTGTGTCACATCAACAAAAGTGAAAGTATTAGTCTGTATTTCATTTCTATTACAATTATAAATCAGGGTTTTATGAGAGACTGAATACAAGAATTGAAAATGCTAGCTTTAAGCTTTGAGTTTGCAATGATACGTAAAAGTCAGGACGTTAGTTGTAGAAATAGATAAATAAATTATAAGAACAGTTTTGTAATTTTAGGTCCAACAGAATGGTCAGGTGTTATCTGGAAGTCACCAAACTGCTCGCATGATACTGCCATCAGGTCAAGTACCAACTCTACTCCCTGCAACTACTCTTGTAGGGAGCAGTACACCATCTGGCTGCCAACCAACATTTATCCCAGTGTCTTGCACACCAAGTACTAGAATTAGTTACAATTCAGTGCCACCCCAGTCTACATTACCACCTCGAACACCAGGATGGAATCAACAGCCAACTGCTGGGTAAGTATATAAATGATTTTAAGCTAAAAATATAAAATATTTTCTATTTGCAAATTTTAATAAAACCAGTTTTTTTAATTACATAGATGTGATGTTCATTGAATTGAATTTATTACCATAATAAAGTCGTAAGACAGCGGAGAAACAGAAATTAAACAAATTTGAAATAGAAATTTTCATAAGAAAGATTTTTCTCCTGAAAAAGATCTAAAAAAAATCGACACAAAATGATTTGTGAAATTAAGAAATGAAATATAGATTTTACAAAGTAATAAAAAATTAAATAGTGAAGAATAGCTCTGCAAAAGTTGCAATATAAGGGCTAGCTTTTTTTGGAAGGGATAGAGATCCTGCTGGGGTGAAAAACCACACATCTGGGACTTGTTTTGTAGTTTCTTTTCAGCTTTTTCTTTTCGTTCTTCATAATGTTTTTTGTTGAATTAAATCTATGTAAAAAGTACAGGTATATTGTTCTGTAACAAGACATCAGGTAAGTGTGGTTAGTTTTGGTGAGTACTGTTATGACAAATTATTAGATCAGACAAATCCCTTTTTGTTGTTGTTGTTGTTGAATATATGAAAAAAGTTTAGCATATGTAAATAACACATAATTGAAATATCATATTATTTATTGAAAACACAGTGAAAATAAATTTAAAAAAAAATTATTTCAACCAAAAATGTTGTTGACAGAAGATATATCTTGGCAAATGTAATGGTTGTGCTATTTTGAAAGGTAGGTCACTGATAAATATTTGTTTTCAATGACTTGTGAGTGGTAGTGGTAACAATTAAATTCTAACAACCTAAAATTTTATTAGTGTTTATTTGTGTGTTAACTGAAATCATAGGCATGTTTCATCAAAAAACTATATTAAAGACTTGCATGCTGAAAAAAAGCTATTAACCACATACTTTATTTTTTAATTCACTATTCTCTGTTTTTTTCCTTCATTTTACTGTGTCACAGTTCAAATTATCTATATTGTTTATGGTCATTCCTGAGAAATTCAGTGGGCTTATGTTTCCATCTGCTCTCTTTCTTGGTTGGGATTGGAGATGGGCAGTTAGTGTAAAATGATTAATAAATTAATATAGCATTCCTTAAATCAAATTACCTACAAACAAAAGAAAAGATTGGTGCTGGGTATTGTCAGGCAGTTGCCTTCTCTCTTGTCAACAGTTCAACAACCTTAGAAAAACAAAAGTTGGTGGCAGGTGCTGCCACAGTTGCTTTCCTTCTAACCAGCAGTTCAACAACAAAAACAAACACAATAAAGGTTGGCAGAGGATACTGCAGCTAGTTGTCTTCCCTCTAATCAGTAATTTAACAACAAAAACTAAAAGAAAATGGTTAGTGGCAGGTTCTGCCAGCCAGTGGACTTCCCTCATAACCAGGTGGTTAGGGCATTTTACTCACAATCTGAGGGTTGTGGGTTCAAATCCCCGTTCCAATATGCTCACCCTTTTAGCTGTAAGGTGTTATAATGTGACGATCAATATCACTATTCTTTGTAAAAGAGTAGCCCAAGAGTTGGTGGTGGGTGGTGATGACTACCTGCCTTCCCTCTCGCCTTACACTGCTAAATTAGGGATGGCTAGCACAGATAGACCTCATGTAGCTTTGCAAGAAATTCAAAACAAATTAAACTCTCTGGACAGCAGTTTAAAATAAGTGACATTGTTTTCTATAAGAAAGAAAGGACATGTAAGTTTGGTTGGAATAACCGAAAACACTAGTTTCAATTAATTTAATCATAATTTTGAATCATCAGTTAGTTTGTGATATTAACCAACATAATTGCTGCTCATGGGTAATGAATTAAATTGCCTAGCTCTACTTGGGATGTAATTAAAACAAGAAAGACGCTTGTGATATCCAAGATACATTGAAGACAGAGTTAGTGTTAGTGGTTATTTCTACAAAAGAATAATGTAGCACATTATGCTAGTGATATGTAAAACATCCCCGTCCCACCAAACATGCTCGCCCCTTCAGCCCTGGGGGCATTGTAATGTGACGGTCAATCCCACTATTCTTTGGTAAAAGAGTAGCCCGAGAGTTGGGGGTGGGTGGTGATGACTAGCTGCTTTAGGGA